ACTCAGCAACAAGACTAGCAGCGTAGTCTAGACGACAGGCAGCAGCAAAGTCAACAAGCTCAGCGACTAAAGCAGACGCAGCAGTGGACTCAAACGAAGGGTCAGTGACAACAGTGGCAAGCAGACGCGTGACAGTAGGGTGAGCAGCACGAGCGCGGTCAGACTCAGGGTCTGGAACGTCAGGCAGAGAAGACGCAGGAGGGGACGGCAGAGGGACACGCTGTGGAGCAGAGGAAGGACGAAGGGCCATGAGGTGCGTGCCGGGGACAGCCGGCGGACGCGGACGAGGAACACGACGACCAGTACGACCAGTGCGAACAGGCGAGACACGCTGGAGCTGGAGGTTCTGCAGCTGCTGGAGGCGCTGGAGCTGGAGGTTCTGGAGCTACTGGAGGCACTGGAGCTGGAGGCTCTGGAGCTGCTGGAGGCGCTGGAGCTGGAGGTTCTGGAGCTGCTGGAGGCACTGGAGCTGGCGGTTCTGTAGTTGCTCGAGGCGCTGGGACTGGAGGTTCTGGAGCTACTGGAGGCACTGGAGCTGGAGGCTCTGGAGCTACTGGAGGCGCTGGAGCTGGAGGTTCTGGAGCTGCTAGAGGCGCTGGAGCTTGCAGTTCTGAAGCTGCTGGAGGCGCTGGGGCTGGCGGTTCTGGAGCTGCTGGAGGCGCTGGAGCTGGAGGTTCTGGAGCTGCTGGAGGTGCTGGAGCTACTGGTGCTGGTGGCACTGCACAACGGTGCCTGTTTTTCGCTCCACCGTCCCCGTCGTCTCTTGACTCCGTGCTTCTCTAGGTTCTTAGCCTCTCGTCTTCTACTGGTCTTCCGTTACAGCCTGGCTCACCACTGCCTGCTCCTTCTCCTTACACTTAGCAGAGAGGAGGTCCTGCTGAGCGTCGTGAGCCTGTGTCTCGTCCCCAGAACCTCGAGCTCCAGGGTCTCCCGCCTCAATACCTCCAGTCGCAGCACCCCCAGAACCGGCACCTCCAGCTCCAGGGTCTCCAGCCTCAGTACCTCCAGCAGCAGCACCTCCAGAACCGGCACCTCCAGCTCCAGGGTCTCCAACTCTAGAGGCGACAGTACCAGCTCCTGGGCGTCCAACCCCAGTACCCCAAGTCGCAGCACCTCGACGACGGTAGCACTGAGCGCACCAATCGCGTAGCTGCTGTCGCGAGAGAGGCGGCCGCAGAGACGCAGCACCAGGAGGACCGCCAGGAGACTCAGCACCCCCAGAACTAGCACCTCCAGCTCCAGCAGAAACGCTAGTCCTGGGAGCTCCAGTACCCCCGGTACGAGCACGTCCAGAACCAGAAACACCAGTGCTCCCAGCGTCTCCACGGCCACTCGCTCCAGCAGCTCGAGCAGCTGAAAGAGGGAGACCCAGAGGGACACCAGCTGACTCAGCACCCCTGGACCCGGTACCCTCTGGCTCAGCACCCCCAGGCTCCGCACCCCCAGACGCAGGACCCCGCGCAACACACCCCGGAACCGGCCGCAGAGGCGACGAAGACGGTCGAGGTGGAAAACCCGGAGGGGTCGTCAAGCGCGGTGAGCTGCGGGGGGGCACAGCGGGGCCTCCAACTCCAGGGTCGACAGCGCTAGCTCCAGGGCCTCCAACCCCAGGACCTCCGGCAGCAGCACCCCCAGCAGCAGGACCTCCAGCCCCAGCAGCACGACCCGTAGGAACTCCAGCTGACTCAGCACCCCCCGACCCGGCACCCTCCAGCTCAGCACCCTCAGGCTCCGCACTCGTAGGCTCAGCACCCCCAGGCTCCACACCTCCCAGCACCTCACGCACAGGCTCAGCACCCCCAGACGCAGCACCCCAAGTAGCACCACCCCCAGCAGCATCAGAGTCAACAGTAGTCGGCTGCAGAGGCGGCGAAGAAGGTCGCGGCGGGAAACCCGGAGGGGTCTCCAAGCGTGGTGTGCGGCGGTAGGCCGCCGGGGCGTCAGCAGCAACGTCACCCCCCTCAGCTGGGCCAGAGGTGTCGGAAGTGACCTCCAAAGGCTCAGCCAAGGGGAGTGGGTCTACCTGAGACACACCTGAAGGAGCAGGACCCTGAGGGGGGAGGGGGTCTACCGGAGGGGGACCTGGAGCGAGGAAAAAAACGGCGAGGGAGGGAGAGGGGCAGTGCGGTAGGGGAAGAGACGGTAGAAAGGAACCGACTCGTCAAAGGTGACGTCCTGGGAGGGGAAGACGCGGCGCGAGGTGGGGTGGTAAAACTGCCAGCCAGACGCGTCAGGGACAAAGCCAAGGAAGACACAGGGAATGGTGCGGGAGGAGAGCTTGTCCGCGGACGTATCGCGGACAAGGGCATGAGCACCCCAGACTCAGAAACGCGACGCATCGCCAACCTCTCCCGTCCAACGCAGTGTGGGCGAGGTGTCTGGCAAGGAGACACGGGGCCAGAGGTTGAGCTGATGCGCTGCGTACCGGACCGCAAACGGCCACAGAAAATGGGGAGCCGCCGCATGGATCAAGGAGGTACGAGCGATCTCCATGACCAAGCCAATGCGGCGCTCAGCAATCCCATTTTGCTGCGGTGAGCCCGCAAGCGTGAACGACTGCTCGATGCCCTCCCTCTGACAGAAGGTCCGCAAGAGGTCGGAGGTGAACTCACCACCTCTGTCAGAGTGCAGACGCAGGACAGGAAGGTAAGTCCGGAACCTCCGGCAGAGCTGGAGACGAACTACGCGGATCCAAGGGATCAAGACAGCAGGGACCTCACCCTTGGTGCGCAAGGGGAAGACCGTGGTGTAACGCGAGTAGTCGTCGACAACCAGCAGAAAGTACCGCTCACCGCCCTGTCCACGAACGCGGGCTGGGCCCCACACGTCCAGGTGGAGGTTCTGTAGGGGAGCCTCTGTCGGGGGAAACGAGGAGGAGTGAGGAGCGGCGCGCTGCCGCCCCTCGACGCAAGGAAGGCAGGGCGGCGCAGGCGAGGCAGGGAGGGGAGGGAGAGACCTGGGAAGACCAGACACAAGGAGGCGACGGTGCATGCCACGTAGACGTGGCAAGGAGGGGTGGCCCAAACGATGGTGCCAGAGAAGAATCTGGTGCAATAGGGAGCGACACTCACAAGGGGAGGCTACCAAACCTGACGCAGACACCTGACCGACAGCAGCGACCTGAGGAGACACAGTCGTCAGTGTGTAGAGACTCGACCCTGGCCGACGGGTGAACGTGGCCAGGTGACGGCCAGTCTGTGCACACGTGCAGATCGCCACACGCTGCCATGCAGGGGTGAAGGTATTAACCCCCACATCCTGAAGGGCAGCGTTGCTCACCAAGTTCGTAGAGAACGAGGGGATGTGGAGACCTGACAGTGAGCCAGACGGAGCCGCCGGGCACGGAAGCACAGTAGTGGACCGTGCAAGCACTGGGCCCCTAGAGGGGTCAGCCAGAGACACTTCAACAGGTGCAGGGAGCGGTGTGAGTGCAGTACTGTCACGAAAGAAACAGCGGGAAGCACCTGAGTCAAGCGTGAAGGTGTGCAAAACCTCAACTGGCGCAGTACCTGAGGGAGCAGACTCACTAGCACCTAAGGCAGCAGCCTCACTAGCACCTAGAGCAGCAACCTCAATACCGGGGTCGTACTGCACAAACACGTAACAGTCACTCTCAGCATCACCAGGCAAAGGAGACATGGCAGTAAGGATGGCGTCATAGTCTAAAGCAAAGACATCAACGCCCGACCTAAGCAGCTCAAGCCAGTGGGATGTCTTAGCCTCGTCGCCAAACTGTGCGTGCCAGGCGTCAGACAAATAGGCGAAGCAGCGGGACTGTGCGTGACCAGGTGTCCCACAGGTCTGACCAGCTCGACGACCTGTGCGAATGACGTACGAGCAGCGACCAGGACTCGGAGACGTCCCACGCTGGCAAAGCCACTCACGAAGCTGCCGGGACGTAAGGGTCGGACGCCGCTGTAGCTGCATCTGGCCACCGCCAGAACCTCCCCACTGAACAGCTCCACAGCGACTGCTACTACGGCCGCCACCACTCCCACTGCTGCGACAAAGTGAAGTCATAGCCGGTAAGCAACAAGGCGCGCGACTAGGAGTTCGGTACGGAGGGAAGACAGCACCACGAGCAGCAACAGCAGCAGTAAGAGGAGCAGAGACGCCCGGTGAGGCTAGGCTGCAGTACCTCCAGCACTCCTAGTAGCACCTCCACGAGTAGCAGCAGTAGCACGAGTAGCAGGGCGGATCGGTTCGAGTAGGGCGGCTCGGCTCGGCCTGGGCTGCGCGGGTAGCAGGGCGCGTGCCGTGCAGGGCAGCAGGGGGCGACGCGCGGGCTGCCGTAGGGCGCGACGCGCGGGCTGCCGTAGGGCGCGACGCGCAGGGCAGCAGCGCGCGACGCGCCGGCTGCCGTAGGGCGCGACGCACAGGGCAGCAGCGCGGGCGTAGGGCAGGGCGCTGGCGCAGGGCAGGGCGCTGGCGCAGGGCAGGGCGCTGGCGCAGGGTAGCGGGGTAACGCGGTAACCGCAGTCGGTCGCTAAGTATGGTGGGCCAAAAAAAAAAAAAAAAAAACGGTCCTATGGACCTATTGCTCTGATACCATGTCAAGATAGCAAGCAGGAATGAATGAACTAGCAGCAGGATGGGTACAAGTATGAAACCCTAATTTGGGTTGTACCCTATATGGGCTACCCCACTACAGCCTACACAATAAGCAGCATATATGTTTGACAGAAGCAACCAATAAACTGAAGCACATCACCTAAGAAACTTCACTACCTGGGCAACAGAGCCAGCACAAAATAATATGCTCACTGCTTCAGGGCTTCACACACCTGCAGCATTCGCAAAGACGCAATGGGCAGTGAGCGGTGAGCATGTTGCTGACACACAGCAAGCAGCCAAAGCACGTGCACCCTGCATGTGCACTTGCAAGGTCCAAGTGCAGCGAGCATGCAAAAGGTGTGGGACCTGGGTGCTAGGGCAGATGCAGAGCAGGCGTGGCACATGGATGGGGTGGAAAAGGGAGAGTGGGAGGGGCAGCGGCTCACATCGATGGGCATCTCGTGCAGCGAGGTGCCGAGAGATTCCTCTAGCGACCGCACCACAGGCACCTCCCCACCCGTCACAAACAGCAGCGACATGCCCCCTGCGCTGCTGCTGCTGCTGCTGCTGCTGCTGCTGCTTGCAGTGGGCGTGGTGCTGACAGAAGGTTCAGAGGTGGAGAGGGAGGTGGGCGGGCGTTGCATGGCTGCCGCTGCTGCCTGCCCCATGCACATGGCCACTCGCCTCAGGTACACCTCCTGCATGCAGGGTTGGCGCGGTGCAAGGAGTGTGGAGAGGGTGGGACGATGAGTGGGCGGGTGGACCAGTGAAATGAAGTTTCTCCCCCTTAGATTCAAGATAAAGATTTAGGGATTGATGGAGAGAGGGAGGCCGACAGACAAGGAGGGAGGGAGGGAGGGTGGGAAGGAGGGCGGGAGGGAGGAGGAGAGGGCGATGGAGGGAGGGGTTAATGGAGGAAGAGAGAAAGCGAGGGAGAGAGGGAGGGAGGGAGGGGGGGAGGGAGGGAGGGAGGGAGGGAGGGAGGGAGGGAGGGAGGGAGGAGGGAGGGAGGAGGGAGGGGGAGGGAGGGAGGGAGGGAGGGAGGGAGGGAGGGAGGGAGGGAGGGAGGGAGGGAGGGAGGGAGGGAGGGAGGGAGGGAGGGAGGGAGGGAGGGAGGGAGGGAGGGAGGGAGGGAGGGAGGGAGGGAGGGAGGGAGGGAGGGAGGGAGGGAGGGAGGGAGGGAGGGAGGGAGGGAGGGAGGGAGGGAGGGAGGGAGGGAGGGAGGGAGGGAGGGAGGGAGGGAGGGAGGGAGGGAGGGAGGGAGGGAGGGAGGGAGGACGGACGGACGGACGGACGGAGGGAGGGAGGGAGGGAGGGAGGGAGGGAGGGAGGAGGGAGGGAGGGAGGGAGGGAGGGAGGGAGGGAGGGAGGGAGGGAGGGAGGGAGGGAGGGAGGGAGGGAGGGAGGGAGGGAGGGAGGGATGAATGTAGAGAGAGAGGGAGGGAGAGAGAAGGGAAGGGGGGGAGCGAGGGAGGGAGGGAAGGAGGAAGAGAGGGAAGAGGGGAGGGAGGGAGGGAGGGCGGGAGGGAGGGAGGCTGAGATGCACATGCATGTAACAGGTGCATGTTTGAACGTGGATGAATGGATGGATGGACAGGCAGAGGGATGGATGGATGAAAATGCTTGGCCCCATACATCGCCTGCAGAGCAGCGAGCAGTGTGTGAGCAGCGTGCAGTGTGTGAGCAGGGCGGCGCTGCACCTTGCGAGGGGGGAAGTCATAGTTGATGAGCAGCCGTGCTCCCAGAGGCGCCTCCCCCGCGCCATGCCCACACGGCAAGCACGCATCTGTCACCACCACCACCGGCACCACCACCCCTCCCTGCCCCCGCCCTTCCTCCTCCCCACTCTCCCCCTCTTCTCGCCTCGCTCTGCACCCTCTGCCGCCTGCCCTTCCCCCTCGCCCACGCGGCTGTGCAGCGAAGGCGCATGGGCGGGTGGGGACATGAAGGCAGGGGGTCCATGTGTCGTGACAGGCCCATGCGAGGCAGGGGCAGCAGAAGGCAGCGCGGGCGCAGGGTAAGGGGTGAGGGGCGAGGCGAGGGGCGAGGCGAAGGGCGGGGCGAGGGGCGGGGCGGGCAGGCCTTTGGAGAGAGCAACGGCGGCATGGAAGGCCGCTAGCACTGCCCTGCGCTGCGCGTCCGATTGGTCGCTGTGCTGTGGTGGCGGGATGGCGGGATGGAGAGAGAGAGAGAGAGAGAGAGAGAGGAGAGAGAGAGAGAGAGAGAGAGAGAGAGAGAGAGAGAGAGAGAGAGAGAGAGAGAGAGAGAGAGAGAGAGGAGAGAGAGAGAGAGAGAGAGAGAGAGAGCGAGAGAGAGAGAGAGAGAGAGAGAGAGAGAGAGAGAGAGAGAGAGAGAGAGAGAGGAGAGAGAGAGAGAGAGAGAGAGAGAGATGTGGCGGAAAGATGATAGGAATTGAGATGCTTTGAGAGGTCAGGGAACTGTACAGAAGTGAGCGCGGGATTGTAGAACAAGGGGGGAGCGAGCAGCTTGGGTGGATTGAGATGATGGAATGGAGATGTAGGAAGAAGCAGCGGAGAGGGGAGACTGGTATGGGGACGGGGAGGGAAACGACTAGCAGGGGTGTGAGAGGTGCGGAGAGAGAGAGGGAGATAGAAAGGGAGGGAGTGAGAGGGAAAAGGGGTTGCGGATGAGCGGAGGGCAGAAGCAGCGGCATGGGATGATGAGAGGGAGCGTACGAGGGAGGCGAGGAGGAAGCGGTGGTGCAGGGGGGAGAGCGCAGCGAGCACATGGTCCAGGGAGTCCGTGTGCCACAGCACACCACCACCGACACTGCCGCCATGCGCGGTGCAGGGGCGGGCGCGGGGGTGGGTGAGGAGAAAAAGGGGGTGGAGGGCGAGACGGAGGGCGAGGTGGAGGAAGGAGGAATAGGGGGAGGAGCGGGGGAGGGGGCAGCGGGGATGGTGCGGCTGATGAGGTGTAGCAGGTCCACCAGTGTTGCCTGCCGTGACCACACACACACGCACACGCACACACAGGCAGGCAAACAGAAGATGGGGTTAGCGCAACTCGTCAACCATGCCAAGCCAAGCCAAGCCAAGCCAAGCCAAGCCAAGCCAAGCCAAGCCAAGCCAAGCCAAGCCAAGCCAAGCCAAGCCAAGCCAAGCCAAGCCAAGCCAAGCCAAGCCAAGCCAAGCCAAGCCAAGCCAAGCCAAGCCAAGCCAAGCCAAGCCAAGCCAAGCCAAGCCAAGCCAAGCCAAGCCAAGCCAAGCCAAGCCAAGCCAAGCCAAGCCAAGCCAAGCCAAGCCAAGCCAAGCCAAGCCAAGCCAAGCCAAGCCAAGCCAAGCCAAGCCAAGCCAAGCCAAGCCAAGCCAAGCCAAGCCAAGCCAAGCCAAGCCAAGCCAAGCCAAGCCAAGCCAAGCCAAGCCAAGCCAAGCCAAGCCAAGCCAAGCCAAGCCAAGCCAAGCCAAGCCAAGCCAAGCCAAGCCAAGCCAAGCCAAGCCAAGCCAAGCCAAGCCAAGCCAAGCCAAGCCATGGCCATGCCATGACGCATTCCATGCCATGACGCATTCCATGCCATGACGCATTCCATGCCATGACGCATTCCATGCCATGACGCATTCCATGCCATGACGCATTCCATGCCATGACGCATTCCATGCCATGACGCATTCCATGCCATGACGCATTCCATGCCATGACGCATTCCATGCCATGACGCATTCCATGCCATGACGCATTCCATGCCATGACGCATTCCATGCCATGACGCATTCCATGCCATGACGCATTCCATGCCATGACGCATTCCATGCCATGACGCATTCCATGCCATGACGCATTCCATGCCATGACGCATTCCATGCCATGACGCATTCCATGCCATGACGCATTCCATGCCATGACGCATTCCGTGCCATGGTTGCCATTCCACCACACGCCTCCCGTCCCTCCCCATCCCCCCCCCTCTCCTCAGCGGGGGGCGCGCGCACCAGTTTGAAGCGCGGCTGGTCCACCGCCACATAGTACTGCATGCCCGCGCCTGTGCCCATGCCGCTTTCCGCGATTCTCGAAACTTCTGCTGCTGCTGCTGCTGCTGCTGCTGCTGCTGCTGCTGCTGCTGCTGCTGCTGCTGCTGCTGCTGCTGCTGCTGCTGCGCGCTCACGCCGTTCCGCCTCTCGCCCACCCTCTCCACGCGCGGAGAGCTCGCGACCTTGGCGGGATTTGCAGCGGTGCCCTCGCAGCACGGCGCGCGGAACTCAGCGCGCAAGCGCGATCAAGCGCAAGTTCCAGCCGCGCAGCGGAGCGGGGCGGATGCGGGAGCGCGGGGCTCGCGCGGCTCTACAGCGACTGCCGGGGAGAACAGCCGGCCAGCGCCGTGTGCGCTGATCCCGTGGCGGCGGGCGGTATTGGGCGCGGGGCGGAGGAGCGCGCGGATGAGGCGCAAAGGGCAGGGCGGAAGGACGGCGCACGAAACGGTTACAGATGTCGCGGGTCGGGTGCGTAATGAGGCGGCATGTGATGGTCCGTTGTGTGCGGTGAGATGGAGGACTTGCACTCCCCTCCCCACGATTTGCCCGCTCGGCTCTGGCAGAGTCAGGGAAGGTTGTTTTGATACACTGAGAAATATCGAGGCAGCTGCTATGTGTGCCGCTGAAACACTGGCTCGGCGAATCTGTCGATACCCTATGGACTGATGGATGCGTGTCATTCGGGGGGGAATCGGTGGAAACAAGAGAAAATAGATGATTCTTCTTTAAAGCCGCGCAGGGTATTCTTCATACGGGAGCTGTGACCTAAGGGTTTTGCAAAGTAGGGCTGTCGTGTGGTTGTTATTGGCGTCATCCCTCTGCAGGGTCGCCGCGTTCCCACAAACATAAGTGCAGAGGACTTAATTCCCATAAACTGTCAAGGGCACAATGCAGTCAGTTGCGGTAGCTTCGGGTATCGTTCAAGCGTACCCCCAAATCGTGAGGGGCTCGAGCACACTATCTCGAAGGTGTCACATCACCTCACCAGCATCCCATCCCACCCAAGCGACATCAAGCTTATGCGGGCACCACGTTGGATTCGAATCTCACCGCTCTCCGCGGCATCGCTTCGCCTCGCGGCGTCTCGCCTCACCGCTTCCCCCCAGTCGCCGCGTGATCGCGCAGCGGGAGTCGCGCCCACGGACCCCGGCTGTGACTCGGCCCGCCGCGACCGATTTTTCTCGCAGCGGTCGCACGATCGCACAGACGTCGCTCTCGCAGTGCGATCGGATCGCGGCGTCAGCACCGCCTGGCCGCGTCGCGCTATCTCCGCGCGAATGGCGTCCGCCTGGGACTGCCCGCGCTGCACTTTCGCCAACTCCCCCGCTTCCCCTGCGGCGGCGGGCGCGGCGTCGTGGCGCGAGGCGGAGTGCGCCGTGTGCGGCTACCGGCGCGCACACGTGGATCTCGACGACGATGACGTGGACGCGAGGGACCCGGAGGAACGCCACGTGGCGGCGGGGAAGCGTGACGCGGAGTGGGCGTGCGGCGTGTGCACTCTCCTCAACGAGCCGGCTACTGCTCGCTGCGCTGCCTGTGACTCGGTACCGCTCTTTACCGTGTCAAACCCTGACGACGTACTGAGCTGAGCTGTTTCCGTCGTTGCTCGTACCCCATAGCGCCACCACCTTGCCTTGCCCTGTCTCTGGCCCATCCTTCCTTCCACCTCCCCTCCCTCACCTCCCCTCCCTCACCTCCCCTCCCTCACCTCCCCTCCCTCACCTCCCCTCCCTCGCCTCCCCTCCCTCACCTCCCCTCCCTCACCTCCCCTCCCTCGCCTCCCCTCCCTCACCTCCCCTCCCTCACCTCCCCTCCCTCACCTCCCCTCCCTCACCTCCCCTCCCTCACCTCCCCTCCCTCACCTCCCCTCCCTCACCTTCCTCCCCATTACCGCGCGCAGCTGCCCCCCGCGCACAGGAACAGCAGCGATGGGGAGGGGGCTTTGGGGGCGGAAAGGGGGAGCGAGGGAGGGAGGGGGGCGGAAGGGGAGGGGAGCGGAGGGTTGAAGCACGAGGAGAGGCGCGATGGGGGGGCGGAGGAGAGGGGGAGCGGGGAGAAGCAGACGGGGGAGAATGGGGGCGTGGGGAGAGGGGAAGAGTGCGAAGAGGCGGGGAGGGGGGCGGAGGGCAAGTCGGGGAACGAGTGGCTGCGACTGCTGCACGAGGCGAGAGTGAAGAGGCAGGGCAGGGGCGACACGAGTGCAGGGGCGAGGAGTGGCAGTGAGAGCAGGACACAGGCGCACAAGGTGAAAGAGGAGGAGGAGGAGAGAAAGGAGGAGCAGGATGAGGGGAGAGGCAAGGAGAAGGAACCAGGTGTGTGATGAGCCCCACTTTCCTTCACCACCCCTCCCACTGCCTCTCCACCCCCCACCTCCCACCCCCCCCGTTCTCCTCCACTGCATCACCCGTACGGGCGTCTCCTATTTCCTTGCAGCCGCTGCTTGAGAGCAGAGGGCGCATGCCGTGGGGCATGTAGGTGAGCTGCTCCCAGTGCATCGAGTGCATGGAGTGCATGCATGCATGCCGTGCAGCTGTGCCCTGTGCCCTCTCCACTGCATGTGCTCTCCTCCCACTTCTAGCTGCAGCAAACCCCAACCCCTCATCCCACAATCCAAGGGGCAGCAGGGGCACGGTAGCAAGGGAGTGAGGTTGGGCCAGTTAGCCCCTGTGCAGGGCCGATGGGAGAGGGGTGGGCGATGTGAGAGCGAGGTGGAGGGTGTGGTGCATCATACCGGCACGTGCTGCTGCATGCGTCCACTCTGCTCACCACACGCCCTACCAGCAACTGCCCACCGCTCATTTATTCCGCATACCGCTCACCCGCTCCCCTCTCGCCCTACCCACTTTCCTTCCCATCCTGGCTCGCTCCTCCGTGTCCTGTTGGTTGGCAGCCGTCAAGAGCACGAGTGTGAGTGTGAGTGCGAGCGTGAGCATCATGACATGGAACGTGTGGTTCAACGAGGATGCAGCACTGCAGCACCGCATGCAAGCCATAGGCGCTGCCATCCAGGACCATCGCCCCCATGTCGTCTGCCTGCAGGTGCCCTGCCATTCCCTGCCCTGCCCTGCCATTCCCTGCCCTGCCCTGCCCTGCCCTGCCCTGCCCTGCCCTGCCCTGCCTTGCCATGTTAGCAACAGCTCAAGGGGCAACAGAAATAGGCAGCGAGGAGGAGGGTGCGGGTGGGTGGACGGGCAAGGTGCAAGCCGGGGAGTGTGGACTTGTGTGTGGGGCACCCATACACACTTGCCTTGCTTCTCTGCCTCTCTCACCTGCACACTTCGTTTGTTTTGTCTACCCCATTTCATTTTCCAACTTTGTTTCCTCTACCACCTCCTCATCTCCTGCCGCTCACTCTCCCCTTCCCTGCGGCCCTCCCTGCGCCCCTCCCTGCTGCCCTCTGTGCCCTGCCATGCATGGCGCAGGAGGTGACGCGTAGCATCGTGGAGCTCTTCTCCTCGCAGCCCTGGTTCACGGAGTATCACCCCTGTTCTCCTCTGCACGACCCCCACATGCCGCCCTACTTCTGCCTCATTGTCCGTGCTCCCACCCCTCTCTGCCATGCCCTGATGCCATCGTATGCCCCCCAATCATCGCACATATGTCCTCATGCGCCCCATCCCCTGCTCATAGCGCCTAATGCCACACTGCACCTCACATGCCACACTGCACCTCACATGCCACACTGCACCTCACATGCCACACTCTCTTCGCATCACAGTTACCAATTTCAGACGCCACAGTAACACCTCTCACCCCACGCCCCATACCCTCCTCCGCCCCCATTTCCCTCCAAGCAGCTATCTCGCCTGGCAGTGCAGCAGCAGCACGTGCACCCCTTCACCAACTCCATCATGGGCCGCCAGCTCCTCATCACCTCCTTCCGCCTCCCCCCCATCACCTCCCCCGCCTCCTCCGCGCCCCCGTGTGTGCTCACGGTGGCCACGACTCACCTGGAGTCCCCCTGCCCCGCGCCCCCCACGTGGGACCAGTTCTTCTCCCCTGAGCGCGTGCAGCAAGCTGCAGAGGCGCTCCGCCTGCTGGACTCACAGCAGTGGCGGGAACGGGGCGGTGGGAGGAAGCGCGCGCGGGGAGAGAATGAGGTTAGGAGGATTGGAGAGGGGGAGGAAGATGTGGTGTTCTGTGGGGATATGAACTGGAATGACAAGCGCGATGGGGATGTGCCCTTGCCTGCGGGGTGGGTGGATGCATGGCTGCAACTGCACCCACGCGAGGTGAGCTGCACCCACGCGAGGTGAGCTGTACCCCTGCCAGCTGAATCCCCGCTGCGCACATCAGCATCTCTTTCCACCCTGCATTGCGTCTCTTTTTCCAGACATGGCTTGCCTTTCTGCTCGCACCTTCCCTCTTGCACACTGCGCAGCTAAGTACTACCACCAACCCTTTTTCTTATCCTACAGCACGACCCACAGTGTGCTGTACACTAATATCACTTTGTGCCGCCACCACTCCCTCCGCGCACTGTGTTGCATGACTCACCCTTCCCACCCCTCAAACCCCTATCACAACTGCCCTGCCAACCACCACCTCACGACCCCTTTCCAACCCTTGCGCCCCGAGCGCATGGCAGGAGGGCTTCACATACGACAGTCGCCTGAACCCCATGCTGGCAGGGGGGCGCCTGCGCCTGCGCCTGGACCGCTGCTTCTTGCACCTGCACCACCTGCGCCTGCACTCGCTCTCCCTGCTCGGCACACACCCCATCCCCGGGGGCTCGTACTCGAAGCAGCGGCGTGTGAAGGGCCAGCCCACCATGGTGGACCTGCCCCTGCTGCCCAGTGACCACTACGGCCTCCTGCTCGTGTTCCACAGGGGTGACGGGGGGGCTGTGGGGCACGGGGATGGGAGAGCGGTGGCAAGTGGTGGTGATGGTGGTGGTGGTGGTGGTGGTGATAGGAGCAAGGGTGATGAGGAGCAGGGGGGAGGAATCGGAGAGCGGAAAGTTAGTTCAAAGAAAGGAAGGACAAGGGTGAAAGGCACTTGAAATGTTGTCAGGCTTCAGAACGGAACTCACTGCGAATGAAGTGGTATTGGATGCCTATACCGGTATTATTGTTACCGGTACCACTCGAAACGTCATCTCGTGTGCCTCGCAAAAAAAAGGCTGAAACACAGGGCCTCAGATTCATTTTTAGGGACCCTGAGCCCTCAGGGCATGACACAGAAATGTGTGTCCTCCTCAGGGCAGAGCCCCTAAGGGGAACCTGAATTCTCAGGGCATTCCAGAACTGAACCCTGATGCTTCACGGCATTTTTTTAATGCACTGTATTTGCAGATGATGCAAATGGTGAAGTGTTCGTGGTGGGTGTTAGAGGGACACTGTAACGGGCAGTCACGCCTGCTGCATCGCTGTAAGTTGCCCCATGTGGGCAATAATGTCGTCAATGTGAGTGGTGGTGGGCGACTCGCGTGTTTTCGGCGCGACATATTGGAAATCAAGGACTTCGCACAAGGGGCCCGTTTCAGGGTACGCCATGTTACGAATAGTAATATTTGATATTACTGTACACTCCTCACCGCAGCAAGAGAAGCAGACAATATCGGGAATGAACGTGTAGCGTCAGACAGTTGGAATTGAACCGAAGAGTCAGACGGTTACAGCACATCTGGACCGTCGGAGCAGATGGCATCGGGCAGCTTCAGGCAGGATGGTTTTGGCGGGAACAGTTACGAAACTGTACGCGCCGCACGGTTGGGAATGAATTTGAATAAAGGAATGTACCCCTTAGAGTACATGGCTAGTTAGGTCGTTTCGTATTCCCCTGTACTCATATTTATATTCCTTGTATTTGCATGTTTTATCCATCTCAAGCATTTTACATTCACTCTGCTATTGAGGTCAAGGGCCCACCAACATTACCTTCCTACGTGCGAACCTTCCTGAGTAGATCCTAGGCCACGATCAACTTCTGATCGCAGCATGGTATGAGAGCAGCTCGGGAATCCTTCGCAACACCACTCCCGAAAATTGCGACATTCGGAAAGTGGCGTCCGGCACACGCTCACGAGTGAAGATGGCCGGAGGATCTGGTGGTCAGACTAGTATGACGGCTGAGGCGTGCACCAACCCGGCTGCGACAAGCGAGGAAACGACTACGATCGGCACCGAAGTTCTCGCACAACTCCTTCAGCGACTCACCAGCCTGGAGCAAGGGCTCCAAACATTACGGAACGGCGATGCGGGAACATCCTCGCAACCATCTCAACCGGCCCCAACTGGGCAGAACGCCGTCCCGCAAACTTTCTCCCTCGACACCAATGGCTCAACCCCCAAGACTCCCCGTCCCAGTGAAGAGGCAATTCTCTCCGCTCAATCAAGGTTTCTCAGCATATCAAAAATAAAGACAAGTACCTGCTTTGACGGCAGAGACTTTTATACCTGGAGCTTCGAGTTGGAGCTCCTGCTGCAGAACGCCCGAATCTTCCATTACTTTGACGGGAGCTACGCGGAGCCCGCTGAGGACACCGACGACGCCAAAGCAAGGTACTACGACGAATCGCTGATGGCCTACGGGGTGCTCCTGCGGAATATGTCGCCGGCGGAGCAGCTCAACATTCGTTCTTACAAGACCTCGGCTGCTCCAGCCCTCAACGCCTGGCGACACCTGACAGGAGTCTATCAGCCCAAGGACTCCGTCTCTTCGAGCCGACTACTCCAGGAACTCCTGGAAACTAAGATGACCGCAGGGGAGAAGGTCAACAACTACCTTAATCGCTGTCGGAGCCTTCGCGATCAAATCGTGAAGTTGGGAAGCACGATTTCAGAAGAAATCTTCGTCAACATCGTGCTTCAAGGGCTCGGCCCAGAGTGGCGGCCCTGCAAGGCGCTTCTCCGACAGCAGGGGGTCATCTCGGAGGCCGCCCTCTGCGCCGCCCTTCTCGTCGAACAAAGGGATATGGACCAGCAGCGACCAGCGCCGCGACGAGAACGCGAACGGCTCGCCTTCTACGCCGACAACACCGAAGAGCGAAAGCCACGGCGCCTCTACTGCAAAATCTGCAGAACCTTCGGGCACTTGGCGGATCGATGCAAGAACCGATCTCGCCCTCGCCAGACCAATTTGAGCACCTGGTCCGGCCGTCAAGACGCACGAGGCGACGTGCGTCCAGCCCAGGGGTACCAACCTCCACCCGCGCGCAACCTGAACCCCGCGGTTCAGCATCAGCAGTAGCAACCGTCATCGACTGCACCCGTGCGAAATGTCATGAGCAACATGGCCATGACAGGCGAGTCGCGTCGTCGCCGCGTGCGCTCACCTTCACCTGAGCCAGCACCGCACCCCATTGGCGCGTTCAACAACAACAACCCATTCAGCCCGCGCCACGACTTCACCGACGACGACGACCAGGACTGGAACCTCCCAGTCCCGCTGCTTGAAAGTCCCCCGCACGTACCTGATATGCGGGTGGCGCCACTTGATTGGCTCACGCGCGAACAATTTTTGAAGTTCGATACTCTGCACATCGTCACGCCGTGTCTGGCGCTGCTCGCACGTGACGACAACAAGCGCTACAACACCTGGTACCTGGACAGCTGCTGCGGCCAGCATATGGTGGGGTCCGAGCGTTACATATCCAACGCCGTCCCCACCCCTACCGTCACCTACGTCACCGTGGCGAACAACACGCGCCTGCGCGCAAGGCATCGTCGTGCTCAAAGCACGTGGAAGCCGCACGCACATCACTCTTAATGATGTGCTGATAGTCCAGAACCTGCGCTTCAACCTCCTGTCCGCCGCACAGCTCATGGATTGCGGCGTCGACCTCAGCACGGACCGCGCGACGCGAGACATCCTGCTGCACTATGAGGCGCGCAACTTCCCCCGCAGGCAGATCGGACGAGCGCACTCCGAAAATGGAGTGTATGTCCTAGATTTCGACATTCCCGACTGCAGCGGCGACTCGCACGAGCTGATCGATCTCGTGCCATTACGCTTCGAGCACATCCACCACAGGGACTGGAGACACCCTGACGGCAGACCGTGGGTGCCGCATCATCCCCACCCACGCGAAACGGCGCTGCACGATCCTGGTCCAGATGGCATCTGCAGGGATTGTCACACGCCGACGGCGTCAACCAGTGCAATCGCCGGCCGCGGACTGGCCGCCATCGCCGAAGCAGAGCGCCACGCGCCACCAGAAGAAGGAATGTCTCAGCTCGAGCTTGAAGTCACCACTCACCGCGTGTTCGGCACTGATCAAAGTCCCTACGCCGGACCACCGTCGCAGCAGCTCGAAGGCATCCTGCGCGGACAACGTCGCGGCAGCCTGGACTCACGCGGAGTCGCGCGCCCCTACACCCTCAAGGAATTCCTGAAGGTCTATCCTCACTGGCGCGATCCCACGGTAAAACTCACCGTGGAGCAGGAGGAAGAACTGGCGCGCCGCGAAGCTGAGGAGCTTCGCCAGCAAAGCCTCGCCGAAGCGCGCGGCACCTTCGCTTGCGGCGCATGGGGAGCCGAAGCGGAAGAAAGTGCCTCCAATGAAGGGGGTGGGGAAGCGCTGGAGGCTGGGGAACGAGCGACACTGGCGGATGGGGAGATAACGGCGGAACCTGGGCAACCGCAACCGGCGGATGGGGCGCCGCGCCTGGCGCCGACACGAGTGGCTGGGGTACCTCTACTGGAGCCTGGGGGGCTCCCGCGAAGAACAAAGGGGGGGAGAAGAAGAAGCTGGAGAGTCTGCAGTTGTTCCCCTCGGTCGTCCCCCACGCCATGTCCCACTCGCGTTACCTCCTCTTGACAACCCGCCGCGCCGCGAACCATGGGACACCATCATCTAGGGTAACGAACCGTCAACACCACGTCGCACAGCTTACGGACCTGCTCCCGAACCACGCGAACCAACCCTCGTCCCTGGAACCATCCCTGGGACCAACATCCCGCTCTCTGAGATCCGCGACAGAGAGTTCTTGGCGCTGATGCTGACTACCGCGGCAGAAGAAGAAGAACTAGAGGAGGCAGCAGCAGAACCTGCTCCCGTACCTGACGAAGACCCTGAGGAAGCACGCGCGCGCTACATTCGCACCTCCGGCTTTCGCGCTGACGATGCACTCTGGCACCAGCGCCTCGGACACCCTTCACGCGCGACGCTGAAAAACTGCATCGACGCAGGCGTCTTCGCCCCTGGGGCGCTCCTGCGCCCAGATGGCTCCGAAGTGAGAGGCGCGACACATCCGCGCAACTGCACTGTCTGCCCCGAAGCTGCGCTGAGCCACCAACCGTTCCCGCTGCTCGAACCAAGAACGAATCGCTACCCCAAGCTGCACAAGGTGTACAGCGACTTCCTGAACGTGGGGCACTGTAGAGTAGAGGACGAATTGTACACGCTCACCTTCATCGATGCTGGAACTCGCTATGTGTGGGTCGTGAACGTGGAAACCCGCGACAGAGCCTACGAGGTATTTCGCCTCTGGCTGGCGCATGCGGAGCGGCAGTCTGGGAAGAAGCTCAAAATCTGGCAATCTGACGGCGCGGCAGAGTTCAGGAGCAACCAGATGCAGACCTTCCTGGCGCAAAAGGGGATCGAGCACCATATCTCTCTCCCCTACGCGCACCAGCAGCAGGGCGTAGCTGAGCGGACGAACCGCACACTGATGACGAAGGTGCGCGCGCTGATGAAGCAGTCAAAATTGCCGCCGATCTACTGGACCTACGCGATGCACCACGCCGTACGGGTGCACAACCTGCTTTCGACCACCGCCATCACCGGCAACTGGTCCCCGCACGTCAAGTGTGTCAGAATCCCAGCCACTAACCACTGGGATAAAAGGGCTTGTTTATATAGCGGGTGAGTGCGCCCATAACCCCCCAGGCCGACGTGCCTGTAACCCTTCCCTAGGATCATCGGGGATCCCCAGTGGACCTCTGACACCCCCCCGCACTGGGATGCCCGAAGTGCACACACCGGGAATCGAACCCGAGACCTTCGCTCTGATACCATGTCAGAATCCCAGCCACTAACCACTGGGATAAAAGGGCTTG